GTGATAGGCCCGTGCGGAGCACGGGCAATTTCATTGAAATTCTGCTACAGCAGCCGTTGGGCCCGAGTAGTTAATCGATTGTAGACGACCAACAATCTGGATCAATGATGCATGGGCGGCAGATGAGATCCTTGTCAAACGTTCCAACATCTACAACTCTAGACCACACATGCTCATGTTTGGCGAGCTGATGAATGGACAAGATAATCTCATACACAAATATACATACACCAACGAGCAGCGGGAGAGATTCCGCGTCCTGCGCAAAATCACCCATCATGGCGTTGGGATACAACAAGTGCGTCATTTATACGGTGATGTGAGCAAGGCTGACTATCAAAGGTTCAACAATACCGCGAATTTCAAGACGACGAGAACAAAGTGGTAGTATACGATCTCCTCAAAACACCTGAGCTATTTGCTTCACATTTCGAACGCTATGCAGCGAGCGTTGTCTCTATTGTTGGATTCGGACGTCGTATCTCTAACAGTCAAGATACGTTGATTACGGAAGTCATCGCTCAGATGCAACATGCTGCTCATCTTGCTGTTGTGGCAAAAGACTGGCCACGCATCATCGAGACATTTCCTTGTGAGTATTTCTGCCTTTCTTCAAAAAGATTCTCTAATACGGCTTTAGGGCTGGTAAAGCTTCCACGTAGTATCGCACCTTGGTTACGCAACGTCAAACAGTCTAGCAAAACAAAATTCGGTCGCGACGCCTTTTTCTATGCCCTCGCCGAAGAAGCACAGGATGCACCGGACGAAAACTACGCAAAATTTCTCTTTCGTGAAGCACCGCAACACAAGCTTAGCTCCGGCGAAGTCTCCAGTCTTGTCTCTAATCTGTTTGGTGCGGGTGCAGATACTTCCAGTAGCACCCTCATCACAGCTGTAATGGCTATGCGCGCCTTCCCCGAGACCTTGAAACCTGCCTGGGACGAACTCGATCGCGTGGTAGGCCACTCAAGAAGCCCTACTCTCGACGACGAACTGTCTTACGTCCGTGCCTTTGCCAAAGAAGTCTTCCGCTGGCGCTCAGTAGCCGTTGTTGGAGGAAAACCTCATGCGCCAACCCAAGATGACTACTGGAACGGCTACTACATACCCAAGGGAACTTGGATACAAGGAAATGTATGGGCTATCCATCATAACGAGCGCGAGTTTCCGGATCCTGATCGCTTCAATCCGAGAAGGTTCCTTGACACAGAAGATCGAAGACCGTTTCCAGGAGAGAGGGGATACATGACGTTTGGATGGGGGAGGAGGAGTTGTGCTGGTCAGGCTCTAGCTGAGCAGGGCACGCATCTCAGTGTTGCGCGCTTACTCTGGGCTTACCGCGTGGAGCCTGCTGTCGATGAGAAGACGGGGAAGGAGATACCGGTTGATATTTGGAGCTACACGTAAGAGTTTCATGAAGAGATGGTTGGATGTGGAGACGACACTGACAAAAGGCAGAAATGGATCAAATTGGCGTCCTCAGCCTTTCAAAGTCAAATTTGCACCTAGAAGCGAGGGGATTAAGAAGACTATTCTTCGTGAAGGGGAGGAAGCACTAATGCGTCTGGCAAAGTATGATAGGCAGGCGAAGTATATGCTTGACTCTAAGAAGTAAATTGGGAATTTGGAATCTGTCGACAAAGTTCAATTATTCAGAGCTGCGCGTGCAGTATATGATATTAGGATAGTAGTGCGTTCGAGATCAGACCTCTCACGTCAACGTCCACTCAGTAAGTTGTTTAACCTCGTACAGTCTTAGTACTTACTAGAATCACCCATGAACAAGTCAAGTCTTAAGAAATCTTCGCATTACCCAACCAACTATTTACAAAAACCCACAATCTACCAAAGAAACCTCTAACTTCAAAACAACCAAACTACCAAACTAACAAAAATTCCAAAAAAAATTGCCCACCCGACAAACCACATACTAAGGGAAAAAAAAAGGAAAACTCTCAATCAATTTAGACAAGCCCCCCGTCCAACAACTCACCCATAATACTTCTCCAACCACTCCCTCAAATCCCCAATCGTCGGATAATCCAAAAACAAACTCCCATTCACCTTGACACTCAACTCGTTCTGGAACTTCTCAGACAACACCAGCGACATCAGACTATCAATGCCCAAGTTTGCGAACTCTGCATCGTCAGTCAGCTCAGCAGCGTCGATACCGGTCTCCTTGGCGATAAGATCAATGGCTTTGTCGACAGTGCTGTTGGCGGCGCGGGGAACGTCGACACTGGTGGCGGATGTGTTGACAGAGGCTTCGGAGGGGGTGTCGCGGTCGGAAGTGTCGCTGGCGGAGGATTGGGTGTCATCTTCCTTGGGAGCGACGCGTACGACGGGTGCTGCTTGGACTTTGGGTGGTGCAGAGACCTTGGTGGGTGCGGGTGCTGGGCTGGATTTGGCGGGTTGAGCGCCGCCCTTGGTGGGCTGGGGCGCGGTGAAGAAGCGGTTGAGGAGGACGCGGGGGAAGCGGCGGAAGTGGATGCCGCCGACCATGCCGACGATGGAGTTGTCTGCTGCGTTAAGGATGAAGACGTCGCCGAGGTAGACGGAGGGATCGTCTTTGGTTGGGATCATTTTGACGTAGGAGCGGTATCGTGCGCCGGGGGTAAGGGGCTCGGCGAAGCGCATGGTTTTCCAGCCGGAGGTGACGCAGTAGTTGTTTGTTGTGTCGATGGTGTCGGAGCAGTTCATGATGAAGCCGGCGAGATGGGCGACGCTGTCGATGAAGTAGGGGGGGACGGTGTAGGTTCCGCTGTCGATCTTGTCGGTGAGCTTCACTTCGGCGAAGGCTTCGAGGTCGTTCATGACGACGGATTGCATGCCACGGTACTTGTCGGCGTAGTCGACGAGGTTCTTTGCGAAGAGAGTGTAGGCCATGTTGCGGGAGAAGCGGTTGGCTTTGCCTTCAGCAGCGAGCTGCTCCAAGGTCTCGATACGGTGCTGGACTAGATGCGCCATAGGACTCCAGCTCGATAGCCAGTCGTCTGCGTTGCCATAGTCGAGATTGGCGGTTGCGAATGGCTCCGACAGACTGCCGTCTTCTTCGACATTTTGCCATGTCAGGTCGAGAACACCACTCTTGATGTCGTCGGTGTGGGCAGTGACCTGGATGGACTGAGGAGTGTCCATGGAATGCTTCTTGGCGATCAGGGCACTGGTTACGTGCAAGTTGCTCATGTTCATATCCACTCGCTTTGTCTTTGGGTAGAACTTGCGGTAGAGATACTCTCCCAAAGTGTAAGCAATGTCGGCATGGATAGACTGCGAGACTGTTAGCAAGTGATGTAGAGAAAAGGATAGAGCTTTGACTTACTGATGTAACGACACCGCAGTTGTTCATCGAGTGTCCATGTGCAGCAGCTAAAAAGTCCTTCTGCATCAAGTCCGACTGCATGACCACAGTGCCCTGGCCTCCATTCACATCGACTGAAATGATGTTTTGTACCAAAGAGCTCAAAGACTCGTATTTCTTGGCACTTCCAACTGCAGGCTCTGCCGTCTCGACCTTCTTGTCGTAGAAAGTGTTACCCTTGGTCAAGCACCAATCGCCATTGTACTGGATCCAGTAGTTCTTCTCATCCCAAGCATATGTCGGAAGATCAAGAAGGCGCACTGCATCTGCGAAAGGACGGTGGAGCTCATTCCAGTCCACATCAGCGCCATCGAGGTGGATAGCTGCTGCGCTCTCGGAGATGGTCTTCCAGTTGTTGTCTCCACGGCGAATAGACGGGACAGCGGTCTTCGTCGACGGGAAGATGGACTTGATGAATCCGACGCAGACGGGGTGAGGGCCCATCTCCATGAAAACAGTCTCTTCATTGATGATTGACACATCGCAAGCGTTCTTCGCAGCGGACAGAAAGTCAACCGTTGCTCGTGTAGCGTTTCGCACGTAGCTAGCGTTAAGCGACCGTCCGTCAAAGACGACCTTGCCGAGAAGGGGCGAGACAACAGGGAGCTTGGGCTCATGGAAGATAACACCGCTCTTGCTAATGGCCTCGAACTCGTCCAAGATAGGGTCCACCTGCTCAGAGTGGAATGCAAACGCCACGTTGAGCTTGATGCAACGGAATCCAGCTGCTTCAAGATCTACAGCAATGTCATCTATCTGTGCCTTGGTGCCACTCAGAACAGTGTCGGTGGGACCATTGATACAGGCCACAGTGTGAGGCTTGCCATTCGATGCGGCGATGATAGACTCGAGAGACGCGCGTACTGCCATCATGCAGTGGCTACCTGGTGTGCACGACTTCTGGAGCATCAGTGCCCGAGAACCAACCATGTAGATGGCATCGTTGGCACTGATGACTCCGGCAACGTGCATAGCTGCATACTCACCGAGGGAGTGTCCCATGACCACATCAGGCTTGACGCCCAAAGAAGCCCAGTAGTGTGCCAACGCAATTTCGAGACAAACCAGTGCCAGTTGAGTGATGACAGGAGGGTGCTCGTGGTCGCGTGGATGGGAGCCGTCCAATGCTGGGATGAATGAAGGGAAGCCTTGGGCTTGAGCAAGTCTGTCGAGATATTGAATGTGCTCTCGGAAGACTGGTGCTTCGTGATACAGTTCGAGATCCATCGACTGGTACGAGGCACCCTGGCCAGTGAAAACAAATGCCACTGAAGGTGGATTGGTCTTGTTTAATGGCTTCAAGGAATCGACCTTGTTAAGTTGTGTTGCCAGCTGCTTCTTCACTGAGGCAAGATCCGTAGCACTAACTGCGACCCTGTACGAATGGTGGTACTTGCGCGCAGTAGTGGTATATGCGAGATCCGAAATGGAGACATCTGGATTTCTGTCGAGGTATACAAGTAGGCGGTTGATGTTGTTGCGCAAGGAGGTCTTGGTCTTCGCAGACACGGCAATAACGTGTGTTGGCCTGGTTTCCTTCTCGCGTGCCACGACGACTGGGGGTGCTTCCTCCAAAAGCATCATGGTGTTGCCGCCGGCAGCTCCAAAGTTGTTAACAGCTGCGATACGCTTCTTCTTTCCATCGCTCTTCCATTCAGTCATTGAGAAGGGAATTGCGACATTTCGCTGATCCAGATCCTTTGGCAGGCGTGGGTTGACCTCAGTTTTGATGCCAATGTGTGGAGGAATGGCATTCTTCTGCAGCATCAACAAGACCTTGATAAGTGCTGTTGTTCCAGCCACTGATTCTCCATGGCCGACATTCGACTTGACGCTTCCAATGTGGAGCTTCTGATCAGACCTGCGGCTGGGGAAGGTGTTTGGAGCATACACGTCCAGGACACCTTTCATCTCCTCAAAATCACCGGCTTGAGTGCCGGTACCATGGAGCTCCACATATGAAACATCCAGCGGATCAATACCCGCTTGCCTGATGATCTGGCGCGACAAATATGATTGATGTCCTGCATGTGGATGGGTGATGGAGACAGCTTCTGCCGAGTGGTTGGTGCCAGCAGCAAGGATAACACCAAGAATGTTATCCTTATCAGCCTGTGCATCTTCGAGTCTCTTGATGACAACCGATCCCACGCCATCGGCGCGGCAGTATCCATCAGCACTGGCGTCCCAAGTCTTGCAGGCGTTGTGGCCCTTGGTTAGGAAATGGCCCTTGCAGAGACCAGTGAAACCATCGGGGTTTGTGAGGATGTTGACTCCACCTGCTACAGCAGTGTCAACCTCACCACTCCAAAGAGCTTGGCAAGCGACCTAAGAAATTGTCAGTACGCTTTTGCCAAAGGCCCAGGATATGATCTACTTACTTCGATAGCTGCGAGGCCCGAGGAGCAGGCGGTATCAATGCTGTAGCTGGGACCAGCGAACTTGAAGAAATAGTTGATCCGACCAGGTCCAAAAGCACGGCATCCTCCTGGAATGTAATACGTTCCGACTTCTTGTCCCTGGTTTACCTCGCGGTAGTCGTCGGCTGCTTGGCCGTAGTATGTTCCGATGCGCTGGAGCCTGGTTGATTGGGTCCTGTTGGCGACGTAGCCTGCCCGTTCCAATGCCTCGTACGCAGTGACGAGCGACAGTCGCATCTGGGGATCAACGACCATCGCTTCTCGAGGTGACATATTGAAGAAACTCGGGTCGAACATGCCCGGCTCGTCGATGAAGCATCCGTATTGCGTCATTGTCTTATTAAGATCCTTGCCTTCAGGGTCGTAGTGCGTGTTGATGTCGAATCGGTCTGCGGGTATCTGGCGCGACACATCAAGCCCTGCTTCGAGCACTTCCCAAAATTTCTCGGTGTCCGTTGATCCCCCTGGAAGCCTGCAAGACATTCCCACAATGGCGAGTTTGGACTGAGCTGGACCTCGGGGAGTTGCACTCTCAGTGGCATCCTTGAGAAGCGCCGACATATAGTTGTTCAAGGAGATGGAAATATCTTTGGAGGCCTTTTGCAACTCAGAACGCAGATCGTTCAATGGAATAGAGTTTCCAAAGCAAGAAAGCCTGATTTGAGTTCGGTGGTTCTGCTTGGCATATTCGACCTCCTGTGCAATGACTTTGTCCCACTCAATAGCTTGTGTTAAGAGCTCTGCCACAACACTCTTGATCAGTCCTGTAGGACTAGATGATGTGTATGAAGTACCGGAACTTGTCGAGAAAAGCGGGAATCTTGGTTCATT